CGGAGCATGTTCGTCCAAAAACAGCTGCCGTATTTGTAAATTGGGCCACCACACTCTTCTTCACCGCCTTCCAAATCAACGCACCGTAGAACGCAAACGTGAGCCAAAACGTCGCATAAGGTCAGCAAAATCAATGAATTCAAAGCAACATAAAGGAACGAAACGCCTTACAAAACGACGATGTGTGTGTGGACGTTAGCCGCTACAAAATAAAAAGAATTTCGTCTCGCTGCTGGATCTGCAACGCCTGCTAAATGTTGCACCTGTGCAAGGACGGCAGCATGTCGACGATGACGGAGAGCGAGGTGGCAACTCATTCCATTATACTAGTTTGTAAAATGTCTCAAACCAAAAATCCACCAAAAAATTGTTCTTGTAAATATTATTGAATTTAGCTATGAACTGAAATGTACTTAATAACTGAAATTATTATTAACGCGAACGCCTATACGCACAGAGGTGCCTCTTCGTTGCTTAAATTCAACGTACTCTATAATTCACTTTATAATTGAAACTAAATATACAACTCTATTTGTCCAACGACATTAAATCGTTAAATAAACACTTGTATAATTGTATATATAAATTGAATTTATTGAACGCTCTATTGAATTAAAACGTAACTCTTTGAATTCTCCATCAGACCGAAATCCCCCTTTAATATAGCGCCGCTATATTAAACACTGAGTACATTGAATCGATCCTGAGAACAGAGTATTTTTGAGTACTGAGTACTTTCGAGTTGTTTTGTGAGTACTGAGTACTTTCGAGTTCTTTTTTGAGTACTGAGTTCTTTGGAGTACTCAGTATCGATACTTTTAAAAGTCGAGTGCGGTCGATCCTTTTGAGAATAGAGTTCTGAGTGCTTTTGGTATCGATACTGCCCAATACTAATACACATATGGGTGTTTCCATACAGCCGTACGCGACATTCGTACGCTTATAGAGTAACGTAAATCTATCAGAAATAGAAGTTACAGAAAAAAAAGACTACGGTTATGTTGCAGCCAAAGGGTACTACGTTTGAGAAAAAAATAAGCAGCCTCGAAACTTTGGTGTGGAAAATATCCGTTCAAAACCAGGTGATAACGTACGCGACAAAAAAAGAAGTGGTTTTAAGGCACATATACATATATGCGAAAGTCTGCGAATCATGAGAGTTTTTCTCTTCTTTAAAAATTCCTAAACTAAGCTAAATAATGTACCTTTACAATCCTTCCATTTTTTGATAGAAATTATCTCTGGTTAGTTTTTATTAAAAAAAATGTAATAACGTACGCGACATAACGTACGCGACAGATTTTTCCCCCATACAATATTTTTACTAGTAACACATACTAAATTAAATTTTTTTCAGTTCTTCTCTCCACTGTTTCGCGTTTTCAAAACCTTTTTCCGCCATCTGAATACGAAATTTAAAGTTATAAAGCCGTTTGAATTCATTTGCTTGCATTTTCGGTTTATATTTTCATGGAAACACGAATAATCAAAAAATTACCGTTATTCGAGCTCTAACTTCTCCTTTTTCTCATTTTTATAGTTAGTTGTTATTGCAAATTTGATTTTAAGATGTAATTGTAATGTTTCAAATCTCTTAATTTAGTTAATAGGAAAGAGAAAATAGTTATTTCAGTAGAGAAAACTGAGTCGAAGAGACATTCAGTTTTACTCTTCCATTTTTGAGTTTTAAAATTCCAATAAGCTGAAATACTTCTACAATATAAAAATTCGAGTATTTTTCTCTTATTAATTCGTCTTAAAAACCCTTTTCAGTTGTTTTTATTTTTTCAGTCCTGGTTGACATTTTCATGGAAACACCCATATACATATGTATGTCCTTGAAAACAATCCACAAATACATTTTTTTACCAAGTATTATACATATTTCGTTCAGGTATACACCATAACTGCTACAAGTACCACATTAATTGATGCAAACTATTTTGGCGGTGCTAAAAATTGCTTAGTTATTTTTTATTTCTGGCGCATAAACGATTATACTATCCTCTTTACTCATTTTTCTCTGTAAATACAAAATCCATGCCATGTACATAAATACATACATGCATATGTACATATGTATAAATGTAAAACTGCGTACTTAGTTTTTCTCTCCGACGTCAGGATTTTTTTTAAATGCCTTTGAAATTTAAAGAATATGATTATTTAAAAAAATCGATGTAATGTAGGATAACAATAAGGGTATCATATAAAAGATAAAATTCTGTAGAATTACTTATAACAGAATGCATTTTTTGGTGCATAAGGACGAATGGGTATGGAAAATGTCCTTTACACATTTTGTGCTTAAATATCCTTGAAAGTTTGCAATATTTTTTTTTATTATTGTTTGAGGACTAATATACGCACGGCTTCATCATCGAATTTCTCGTGCCTCACCCTCATTGATGCTGCGGGTACGAGCTGCGAGCGCCTCGTTGCCTGCGAGGCATTGAGTAGGAGTTTCCTCACTCGCCTGAACTCGGAGTTTTTGTCTACCCTGGCTGCTACAAATGGTTGCCCACAGCATCGTTTCAATATGTGTTAAAACTAGGGTTGCCAGATTTTTTATGCGGGAAATCAGTACGTTAGACTTTTACGTGCTAAAAAAATCAGTACTTTTCAGTACACAATATTTTGGTATATAATTAAAATATAGTTCATAAAAAATAAAATGTTATTCATTTTAAGATGAGTGTACACATCATTGTACACTAGGGTGGTCCAAAAATGCATGTGAAGAAGTAAAGTCGGAATTTTTATGCTCTCACCCCCTAGGATTGTTCTATACCGAAAAAAGTGTACCCCTGTTTTTTTATTTTGAAATCAAAAAATATTTAGAGGTCGCTCAAAGCGCCCAAAGATTTCCATGTATTTTATATGGGAGAAAACAACTTTTCGTAGAAATTGTATACAATACTTAAAAATCAATATTTTTATATCGGAAAACTCTGTTTATCTGCAGGCATACCCAATTGTTTGTTTAGCCATTTTTTCATAGCAACTATAATTTATAGGTCCGCCAAACACCCAAAAAAATGCATTGGGAGGACCAATAAAAAATGGTTAAATAAACAATTATTGAAAGTCTCCTGCAGACAACTAGAGTTTTTCGATCGAAAAATATTGATTTTCAAGAATCATATATCATTTCTACGAAAAGTTTTTTTTTTATATTAAAATACATGGAAAACTTCGAGCGCTTTGAGCGACCTCTAAATATTTTTTGATTTCAAAATAAAAAATAGGGGTATACTTTTTTCGATGTAGATATAGGGGGTGAGAGCATTACAATTCCGAATTCACTGTTTTTGGACCACCCTATTGTACACAGTAGCCAATAAATTATTTTATATTTATGACATTTTTGAATAGAAATAATGAGATCATTTCCATTTTCAATGTTTAAATAGTCAAAGAATTCTATACATTTAATTTTAAAGTTACTTTTAATTTGAAGTTCAGTTTCAAAAATTTTAATTAGAAGCCGGTTTCTCCCTTTGCGCAAGGAAGCAAACCTTATACTTAAGATCCTCTCAGTTGCTTCGTTTGAGTGTGGTATTGAAAAAAAACCTAAATTAAATATTTCTTCAAACTGTTTAAAAGTACCACTTTTTAAGGATTTCCTCTGTATTTCCTCATGGAAAGTATAAGAATGTGCTAAAAACTCTATATCTTGTATGCAAAACACTTTTACAATGTCAGGAAATTGAGAAGAAAGGATTTTAAAGCTGAATTTACATGAGGCGAATTTTTAGGCGATTCAACATTGCTCAAGAAAAAACGCTCGTGTAAATGGCGATTCAAAAATCGCTTGCCTCAAAGTAGACAGAAAGTCAACTTTTGCAGGCGATTAGCGCCTCCCAAAAAATCGCCTCATCTAAAGGCAGCTTAAGTTATAGGCCAAAGCCATTCGAATATTCAAATTTACTGCTATTAAACTGAAAGATATTTTCGAGATAACTAAAAACACTCGAAAAAAAACGTCAGCCTTCTTTTTAAATAATTTAAGCTCTGTCATATTATCGCAACTGGTACGAAACGACCCAGCGATATGCCCATAAAACTATTGCTATTTTTGTTGTATTAATTTCTTGGGCATATCAAACATTATCTAAAACATGTCAACTATAATTAAATCATTTTTTTCTTACTTTTTACAGTACACTTTAAGGAAGCTCCAACATTATGTAAAAACCTTAAGTAAATCCTAAAATATTTTGTTTGAATTGAAAATTCAGTACAAATCAGTACACATTTTGAAAAATCAGGACATTAGCGTACTGATTGAAGAAATTAATAAAATCAGTGCAAGACTTGAAAAATCAGTACTGTACTGATGAAATCAGTACGTCTGGCAACCGTAGTTAAAACTGTGCAAATCATAGTTAAAATTTATATATCCTTCTTATTTTACCAACCCCTTAAAACTATGTTCACAGCATAAATTACCTCGTTTCGATCAAATTACTTCACACAAATCATGTACGTTCAGATTTTCATTCATAATTTCTATAGATATGTATTTAGCACGTTTACGTACGAGTGCGGGGTTTGTACTTGATTTCAAAAAAAAGGTTGCATACCTTTCCGATTTTTTTTTTTTGATTTCCTCAACAGTGGATGCTAAAATAAATGAAAAATCTTTTTTTCTTCATTTGGTTCTTGATTTACCATAAATTATCTCATTTCTATTTTATTTACTGACAAATTTAACAGGTCGAAATTACTTGATTTCAGCATGATTTGCTTATAAATTACAAATGAGCCGTAAATTACGTTAACGTGAACATTCTTTAAGTGCTTCCTCAATAAATACTTACACATCTTTCCCCAAAACAAATATTGTACATATAATTAATTTCACATTAAAACAATGCTTTTTATATGCAGTGTCAACATGACACTGTGAGGCCGAAATCGTTTGAAAAAATTAGATACGGATGAAGTTTAAAGCAAACTACACTTTTTATCCAACACGCTTATCATATCATTTACAGTTCTGCGGTAACGACGCAGAAACGCTGCTGGATGCTGCACTCTTAGCACAAGAACACTGCGATGCGGTTGACATAAACTTGGGATGCCCGCAAGCAATAGCAAAGCGTGGACACTATGGTGCATTTCTGCAGGACGATTGGGAGCTAATTACTGAAATTGGTGAGTATTGGTTAGTTTCCGCTTTTGCGAATTATGTAAGAACGTGTATGCTATTTTTTAGTCAACACATTGCATAAGAGGCTCTCTGTGCCAGTCACATGCAAAATTCGTGTGTTCGAAGACCGCAAACGAACTATCGAGTACGCAAAAATGCTCGAGGCCTCAGGTTGCCAACTGCTTACTGTACATGGACGAACACGAGAGCAAAAGGGGCCGCTAACTGGGATCGCTGATTGGACTTATATAAAAGAAGTGAGGTATTGCATGTTTAACTCAAAACTTTACAATACATATAGTAAAAATTATGCGTTTTTTTATTGTGGGGCGCACAGTGTCAGATTTGGCCAATCCAGCAGCAGATTAAGTCTGTACTTTTGCTCGCCCGCGGACGCCCGCGGGTGCCCGAAAATGCTGTTGAGAGCCACTTTGAGAAAGTATTTTTTGCTTCTCATTAGCCCTAAGTTTGTGAAAACTGTCAAACTTCCAGAAGAGAAGGAAGAAATTTAAAAATTCAAATTTTAACTAATAAGCAGGTCCGTGAAGTTTAAGCTTTTGCTTGGAATTAGAGATGGGCACGAGCCGGGATTTTGGCAGGGGCACGGTGGGCCCCTGCGTAAGCCCGCGGGTACGGGCCGGAATATTTGCTGTCATGTGCATGGGCGTTCAGTAAAATTAAAATTTCATAAAAGCACGAATTAGCACGAAAAAGCCCTTTGCTAATACTACAAATTTGGATAAGCTTTTGTTTTTATACAAAAATATATAGTTTTTAAAACTCTTTTGATAAGAGAAAAACAAAAAAGAAATATTTGGAAACCTATAGATAAAATAAGATACTTAGTAGTTTTGTTTACATATCTGTACATAAAATACCTTCCACTTTTTCTACTTCCCAGAAAATGTATTATAAAAATCTTGGGTGTGAAAAATTGATTCGCTTAAGTAAATATACATACATATATACAAACTTTAAAATATGTATACATGCAATAAAAGTTGGCTCTTTATTTCCGGGCTGGGACGTGTCCCGTCGTGTCGGGCCGGGCCGGGCCCCACTGAAATTCTTAACGTGCGGGCTCGTGCGTGTTTTGACAGCTGATTTTGCACTCGTGCCAGGCTGGGCCTGAAAATTTAGGCCCGTGCCCATCTCTACTTGGAATTGCCTCTTCAGGGTTTCCAAGCTTAATTTTTAGGATGATGCTTATTTTGCTTATTTCAATGTATATGTACGGCCCTTTTAAGAAAACGGTCAAGAAATAAATTGCTATTATTTCGTGTGTGTGAATAGTAGTGCCCAAGGAGGTTCGACATCTGATATTTTAGAGCCGGCTGTCTCACTTTTTCCTTGCGAAATATTGGAACGGGCATATATTTATGTTGAAAACAAGGGTGCCTTATAGTCTTCGCAAAAAAACCTTAGCCAACCATAGTAAAAAGTGTAGCAAAATTCTTCAGAACTTCTTACTGCTTAAGAAAATTTGGCTCAATAAATTTTTCTTCAACATTTCTTTGGCGTTGTTTTATTGGGTTAACTAAAGAAATGTTTACAAATAATAACATAAAAACAGATTTGGTTTTAATTCAACCGTAACTTTAGTTGCATTTCTGCTTGGATACACAAATTTAAAACCAATGTTTTGTCTCTACGGGAAGGCATTGGTGTTATTGAAAACATTAAAAATAATTTATCTGAAATGGAGAATAACGATTATTTAAAAAGTTTAAAACGACCAGCGCATATCTCTTTTATTTGAAAATACAAAGTAGTCCTTGAAATTAAATGAATAAAAAACAAAACATTAAACTGTGCTTAAATTTTGTTGTTTTGCGAGCATATTTGCAAGCATATTTACCAATGTTTTAGTGCTTATATAAGCGCTTAAAAGGGATTTTTTCTTGCTTATTTTCTTCGGCCCTGCTAATAAGTATGTAAATATTTAGCTGTTTTTCTTTGATTGATAAGTGCAAAACATCAAGTGAACCAATAACATTGTAAGGAAAATTTTAAGTTTTGAAATTATACAAAAATACGTCGAAAAACGTAAACTTTATTTTGGGCCCACTTTCCTAGATCAGGCAATTTTCGCAAGTTATTTGGATTTTAAGTTTGAGTTGGTGTTAAAGCCTTTTCTTTTGCAAGATCTTGAAGCTATCCACTAAGAATAGTGGCTGATAAATAAAGATGTAAATAGTCTAATGAATGCTTAATAATTTCTTTTTTATGAAATACTAGCCAATGCCCGCTTGCCTCGCGGCGCCCAATAAGAAATTTTGCGTTGGCCAATGCAAAAGAGCGGTTAAACGCAAAAATAGTCCGTAAAGTCAAAATTTCTGGTTTAAGTTGACACCACTAAAGCGCAGTATGCTCGTCACACATCGGCCAATAATAGAAACGATGTGATACCATATGGAATACTAATCACTTTCGGTGTCAGGAGCTTTACTGATGGTCTTATTTCTACCTGTGAGATCTCTGCCAAGCATGCGTAATCTTTTTCTATGATCTTGCAAATACAACATTGGTGCGATACTTATGCCAATAAAAGTTCTTATAAGGAAACTAAAGAGCACAGAAGTGCGTTTTCTGTTATAGGAGGGCCAAGAATCCTCGCTGTCCCACAGGCTGAAAAATTTTCCGGTACATTGGCTAAATGAGTCGTGTGATCTCTTGAATATCTTTCAAATGAAGAAATTGATATACCTACGGTGATCTTTCCTTGTTAATTCGAAACTTTTACAATTCGTGGTAATATTTATGAACTGATTTCTAGGTAGATGCAAGATCGCATGATCATGCATGAGGGCGTCAGACAAACTTAACCCCATCCTTCGTTTAGACATGTGAAAACTAAATTCGTATAACTTAAACATAGGGTCAAAGCAGACCAACCACACGGGGTTTCTATACATTTCGGCTGCAGCGCCATCCATGGGGTCCATTTTCTGCAAAACCATTGCTTACCATAAAATGAGTACGTGTTATGAATTTCAACGTCGACTCCAGCGGCACTCATGGGGTACATTTTTTTCAAAAGAATTTTTCATCATACAGGTACATAGCTCACATTTATAATTTGATAGAAATCAGTTAATAAATACGATTTTTATAAATAACTCTACTGCAGCACCACCTAGAGAGTTTTCTAGTAGCATATAAGAGGACCATATATGTAAGATAACCTCCGACAATCTGACGGAACTCTATTCAGTGGTTTTTGAGTTTATTCCGAACAACGAAAACGGCTATCCTATTATGCAAATAGGTATGTAGATAGGACAGTCTATAACGAAACTCGAAAAGTCAAAGCTCCATTCTTTGTGCAAAATTTTAAAAAATTCTCCAAAATTTTCACATAAATTTTACATTTTACTAAAAATTAAAAACAAAGTTACAATAGTTCAATGGGATTTAGAAATCTAGAAAAAAATGGCTCCCAATCGAATGATACTTGCACGTTTACGTAAATGTATATCGATGCAGCCTTTCCAATAATTACCACTTTTCGCCATAAGTACGGTATTGAAAATTTATGTAGCTGTGTCGAATTTCAGGACGTTAGCGTAAGTGGTTCCAGAGATAAGCTTTATGAAAAGTTCAGTTTGTATGGAAGGTGCCACGCCCCCTTTTCCAATGCATCAGTGCTAAGTTTCAGTTCCCCAGCGTAATTGGTTTTAGAGATATATTGGGTTTTTACGTTTTAGTCTGTATAAGAATTTTAGGAATATCCCGAGCTACATACCGAGTAAATTTTTGGTCGGAATATTTATTTTCAAGGTGCTGGTATATGTTCCAAATATGAATCAAATCGGTGCAGCCGTTTAGTAGTTTAGTGAAATACATTCTACAGAAAACTGTATGAAATTGTAAAGCGTGACGTCTCCATAATTTTTTGGCAGCAACAACAAAAGTTTTGATTTTTTTTTAGCGAAAACCCTTCCACACAGAAGTTCTAAAAAATTGCGATTGGTTATGCTTGAACACACTGAATTGAATGTCAATAAAATTAAGTTTGTGGTTATATCAAGGCGAAATTTTGAGAGCAGTCCATTGCTAACTCAAAATATAAACAACAACGCACTGGCAAAAGTTAATAGATTCAAATACCTACATATAAATAATGATCGGCGATAAACTAAAACAAAAAAATATGGATTCTATATTTTCAATTAGAGCTCTAGCGATATGTACATAAGTGAAAACTACATTTAATTCCATACATTAGTTTTTGCGTGATGCTCTTACAAATATACAGACAGACAGACCAAAATTATAAAAAATTTAGGTTTGGCTTCTGTTGATCTATTAATTTTTCTTTAACATCTATTATCTACAGCTGTTACCTTACAGCTATTACCTTACCTATTATCACAGCTATTATTGCAGCTACATTATTATGTTACAGCTATTATTAGTATTATGTACCTATTATGTACAGCCTGTTGCAATTTTGTTATTCTCAAATGCTTTCGTTTGACACCCATATGGCAACATTTAGGTTATCTTATCAAATTAACTGAATTAATGTTTGCTGGGTTGGAGCTGCTTCGGCCGATGGAGTAAAAGTAAAGCTTATATTTTTCCCTTGTCCCTCCTACGCGTTTCGACACTCTCGTGTCATCTTCAGGGAGCCAATTTTTTCATGTTTTTGTTGTATTGCTTTATTATGTAGCATGTCTCGTCGTTGTATTTAAGTCTTACATGTTGGTAAAGTTGCTTCATGTTTACTTTTTTTGTTTACCTTTTTAGTTGTTTTCTCGGGTTTGCTCACCGATGTTAATAATTATCTTTGTATGGGCCGAATTCCTATGAATTTTGTTTGCTGCTTATATTTTTCCCTTGTCCCTCCTACGCGTTTCGACACTCTCGCGCCATCTTCAAATAGGTGGCAACTCGCTCCAAAAATATTTTAAAAAGTAACCGTCTTAATCCTCTTTAGTTTAATGTCCGTATTGTAATATTTCATTTATTTTACAAATTTAAATGAATACAATTTTTCAAGCAGTTGGAAAATCCCCAAAAAATATTTTCGCCATTAATATTTCCTAGCCTCTTTAGTTTGATGCCAATATTGCAATATTTAATTCATGTTATAAATTGAATTAAATTAAAGTTTTCAAATAGGTGGCAACCTTCCACAAAAATATTTTCAGCTGTAAGCCTTTGTAAACCTCTTTCTTTTGACAGCCATATTGGCCCAAACTGCAATTTTAAACACAGGTGGCAACTCTCTAATTTTTTCTTCTATATTGTAAGTTAGACCTCTAGCGATACATCGGTGAAAATTGCATTCAATTCCATGCATTAGTTTTCGAGTGATGCGCGTACAAATATACAGACAAACAGAGAGTCAAAAATTTTAAAAATTGTTTACTTGGTGGCAGGTAATAAGATCAACGGAAATAGGGTCAATTGACTTTATTTCCCACCCTGGTGCGAATTAAAGTCAATTGACATTATTACCTTTTCAAAATCGAAATAAAATCCATTGACATTATTGCTCTTTCAAACATTAAATTTGCTT